TAATTTTTTTGAACTTGTAATTAACTTCAGTAACAGTACAATTATTTCTGTAATTAATAGTACAGAATATTTCACCAGCTGTCACAAGCAAACTGCCTTGTTCGTAATATACACTATTGTATTTCTACTATGTACATATATTTCCAATTGTTATTATTATTACATTATTGATTACAATTGCAACACTCATTCCGATTCATAATGTCATACATGTAAATTGAGACATCTTTTTAGAAACTATTGAATTTTTGTATCTCTTCTTAGGTAGAATCTAGCAAGACAAATAATTACATTTTTATTCAGTACCTGTATATGAACAATTGGAAAAAATTTATCATTGATATCTATTCAGGAATTTTCGTCGTTCACTCCCGATGTTCAAAGTCCTAGACGATCGCAAAATTTACATTTTATGGAATGATGAATAAAGCTCGATGTGAAACCGTTACGCTGATTAATAATAAACAAATTTTCCATTATGTATAGATTAGCACTCATTTCATTCTTCGCGAGATAACGTCGAAAAAAAATTGTTTTTGTTTGGATACGCAAACTGAGCTTTGCGTAATTTCTTTTCTACTCTTTATGCTTATTCAACGCCTCCAGTAATTCATCCGCGGCTTCACTAGTTTTTACTCTCAACAGCACTGGGATTGGCGGCGGTGAGGAATCTGGCATCGGTAGGCAGACTAACATTATCGTGTTCTTGTTCATCCGCTTCACGGGAATGCTTTGAGTCAACAGGGTATTGAGTAATAAACTGCCCAAAGCAGTGTCGGCACGTACTATCAATTGTGTTTTCCCGTTCGGCGTCGGTTTCAGATACAACATCCCGACGCCCCTGTCACTAAAATTGTTGTCTTTCTTCACGAAGACTTTACATCTGTAAAAAGAGAAACGTATTTAATTAAGTCGCTGCAATAATAAAGATAATCCTACTATTTAAAAAATTTGGTATAGTTTTTATTTCAATATTCGCACTATAATGTAAAAATCACGACAAAACTACCTTTGTTCATAAGTAGCACCTTCTTCAGCTACTGGTTTAAAATCCGGCGTCGGCGGTTCCTCATCTTCTTCTTCCTTATTTTCATTGTCGGCCTTGTCTTCGGAATCTTGCGGTTTTACCGCTTGAGGAGCAAACGAAAATGGTTTCGCACTATAAATTATAAGAATATATTTTCGCATCTCATTTAATATATCATATCAAGAAAGTTAATGAACAAATTACCTTCCGAAGCTAAATCCAGCACACACGTTACTGGCAGTGGAACTCTGCCCGAAACTAAAAGTAGGGAAGGTAGGAGCAACGGACTTCGCGTTGGACTTGGTTTCCTCCTCGTCCGCATTTCCATCGTCCGAAACGGTGGGTTTATGTAAGAAAGGGTTACCTTCCACGTTCGTATTGCCAAATATACTCTTACTAGCGACGTTCGATTCTACGTTTCCAAAAATAGATTTGCTCTTATCGGTAGTTACATCCGTATTACCAAATACGGATTTAGGACTTTCCTTCTGTTCCGTGTTACTGAATATCGATTTGGTATTCGCGGTAATATTGGAAAATATCGACTTCTCGGGCTTCCATTCTGCTCCCGCGGTTAAAGCAGGCTTCGTATTAGAGTTTAAATTGCTAAACGCCAACTTTTCTGATTTCGTCTCCGTGCTCATGTCCTGTTTACTATCGTTTTGCGCAGCCTGTGTCGAAGTTTGCGAGGTTTTCGCCTTAGTACGTTCCTCTTTTGATGTAATCTCTTTCAAATATCGCTCATAATCCTTAAATATAGGTGTCAATATACAAAACGGATTTGCGTCTACATGGCTCTTTATCCATGTAGCGACGCTTTCATTCAGTCCCTTTAGTTTCGAGTAATAATCTGACGAGTGATTCTTCGTCTTTTCAGTTCCTTGCTGGGTTGAAATCTTTTTGCTCACACCCGTGCTCGAAGGTGTTTGTAACTTGGCGGTATTCTCTCTTTTATCTGCATCAATTTCCGAAATCTTGGGAGCACCGTTGCTCGCAATCTGCCTGCTACTTGTATTTACAGTCGTCGCTGCTGACGCTGTGGAAGTAGTCGTACTAGAAGCGGTGGTTGAACCAGCTAAAAAACTAAACGGAGACATACTTGTCGTAGGTGTGGTTTTGAAACCTGCAAATGTTCCAAATGCACTTTTCGTGGGACTTCCCTAAAACAGTTAACGCAGCATAGCGATAAAAGGCAAATATAATTGAGGCAGTTCCAAACAGCAGGAACATATACTCACATCCTTCGATGGCAAACGACGCCTCGCTGTCTTTATAACCCTCTTCTCGAGTATATCATTTGACGCCATTGCAAACGTCCCCGCATCCTCTGGTTCGTTCTCCTCGTTCCAGTTGTCGTGATTCAATTCTGTTGTCGCAGATCGCTTGCCTGACATTTCTGCTACCTAACAACAGACTTCGTGTGCGAGAGACCAAGAAGAAAACGTAATTAATAACAATGAGATAAGTGCGTTACTTGAAACGGAAGAAACTTTTAATGTATTCGATAATGTAATTTCGCGCGAGCGAAATGCCACAACCAAATATCTCTGTCAGAAGCAGAAAGAAGCTAAAATTGTATTTCCCACTGTGTTGGACAGTTCGAGATGACAAATCGACTTACAGACAAAAGATCTTTTTTTTTTTCAAGATTACGTGGTGAAACGTAACACATAGATTCTTATTTCTCGCGAGATATAAAATAAGAAGGGAAATCGGAGGTACATTTACGGAATTTATTTGCGTGAGGGACGATTCGGTCGATATCACGTCGCCAAATCAGGTTAGGTTTCAAAGCGACGTCGTTCCGGCGAGTTTCGAATCGCCAGCTGAAATATCTTCGGCGGACGCTCCGGAGCAAACGATTTTGTTCCGCCGGGTGAACGAACGAGACGCAAAGGTGAGACGCACGGGTCCACTGCATAACCTCGCGGCGGCGAACGACGGTGATATCGATTTTTATTGCACTCACCTCGAGAAATTGAAACGTTTGCCGCGGTGATTTCGACACTCTCGACGTCTCGTCCGCGACAAACGCAGAGAGGCCAAGAGCAGCCAAGAGAGGCAACTGGTTGGTCTGGAAGTTGCTCTTTGAAGTCCGTTACGTATCGAAAAATGTCGTCGCGTTAGCTATCAAGCGGCGTTTTCACTGGCCTCTTTTGTCCGATAGAACAGTCTGGATAGGCTAACCATTTGTCGGGTAATTATTTATATATATAAGCTTATTTTTCTCATTTTTATTCAAGATAACAAATAAATTAGCAATTCATTAAGCTATAATATTTTATTTGTCGTATGATAAATGATTTAAACTTGTCGATTAGCTAAAGAAGTTATCGAGAGTTTCTATTTGTATGGAAAATTTGTATGAAAAACTATACAGGACCCCTATTCTGTAACTCGTAACGACAGTGTCGGTATCGTTACGTTGTCGTTGCGCAGGTATACTATATGGAAAAAAAGCTGCGCAACGACGACATAACGATACCGACACTGTCGTTAGAGTTACAGAATAGAGGTCCTGCCTTATTTCGCGTTCATAAAGGTGAAATTTCATGGGCAGTGAAAAGCAGCAGCAGATCGTACTGATTGGCTACAAAATAGAGAAGTTTTAGGAACTCGAGAACTTCTCTATTTTATAGCCAATCAGTACAATCTGCTGCTGCTTTTCACTGCCCATGAAATTTCACCTTAAGGTTTGAGAAAGTGAACCCACATTGGACGATTGGACTCGCCTCGCCACAATCGTCACATTCGTTACGCGGCTGTCGAGATGATCGCCACACTGTTGCTGAACGTGTAAAAAACAAAAGTCTAAGTGCACATCCAGACAAACTTTCAACTGCATATAATTATAAATATAAAGAAAATTATTTAATCGCATTTTAACATAAGATCCGCGCGTAAAATGCGATTGGATCATTTTCTTTATATTTATGGTACGCAAATTATCTGGATAAGCTCTAACTTGGAATATTTTCATGTGACATCGCACGTAAGTTTCAGTATTTTTTATTTCAATAAATAATATTTTATTTTGTTGAAAATATTATTTTATATATTATTATATACAAAAATTGACGCAATATTATTTAATTATTAGGTTACCAAGATCCAGTTCGAACCGTAAATGGCGCTTTTCTGTCTAATTGATCGAATATTATTTTATTTATTACAACATTGGAGCGTGAAGGCGATGAGGATGAAGATGAACGGTAAGAAGTAAGAAGACTCCAAATATTATAAATCTGTATTTCTCTTAACCATTGCATATATGTGAAAAGGTATTTATTAATCTTCTTCTTTAGTTCTTGCTGGCACCATTAGGCAGAAGCAACCACCTACATGGTCAAAAAAGCTATTTAATTACAATAGTTGCATTGTAAAGGCATTCGAGCGAGAGGTTCGCGTTATTTTAATTGAGAAATTAAATAGCTTTGCGTATAGCCGGCTTATAGCGTACGGTACGCAAGGCGATTCAAGTTGACGCGCAGTCGCGGACGCGATGGCATTTTTTCAAACATTTCCAAGTATGGCTACTTGAAATTAACGCGAGTTTATTTTTCAAGGTGGCGGCACACCACGAGGCGACGCAGTGCGGCGAAAATGTGGAAATTCGGGGGAGAAGTGTCGAAGGTGGCCGAAAGAGACGCTACAAAAGGGACCCACGCGACTTCCGGCGTGCCAACTGCGGCGAGGTATCCGCCAGCTGTCGCTGGCCGTGTCGCGCGCCGATTGGCCGAGCGGCGCGTCGATGGCGGCGGCGACGAATCAGGGAGCCGAACCCAGCGCGGCGCGGAACTGTCTCTCGGCGGCGTGACGCGGAAGTTGCTCCTTTCCTCTCCTCTCTTGTAGCCAAAGCCGGCGAGGCAAGTTACACCGGTCCATTATTTAAGCGAATATCCAACGACGACGTCGAGCTCCGGATCCGTGCCACGCGCCTAGAATATCTGCCTGCAGAACGTGCTCCGATTTCGGTTTCCGAGCCGGGAGACGACGCGCCCTGACGCTGCTGGCAGTTGGCACCGAGGTCCAAGGGATACGGGCACGCTTTGTCTATATCGCGCGGCGAAGTTGTACGGAGGAACGCGAATCACGATGGCGGCAGCGGTAGATTACCAGAACCAGGCGCAAGACGACATGCAGGATCAACCAGGGAAAGGGCATCCCAACGATTCTCATAATCAGGATCATGGCCATCAGCAGCACCATCACCAGCAACAGCACTCGTCCTCGCAACCGGGCCAACAACAGGCGACCGCCGGGATCCCCGGCAAGGACGACGAGCGTAAGCTCTTTGTTGGCGGGCTGTCCCGCAGCACCACCGACAAGGATCTCCGCGATCACTTCGGCAAGTTTGGCGAAATCGAGAGCATCTCGGTCAAGGTCGATCCCCACACCGGCATTTCGCGCGGTTTCGCCTTCATGGTGTTCACCAATCCAAAGACCATCGACAAGCTACTCGCATCCGGCGAGCATTATATCAATAAACGCAAGGTACGTGTGTGGGCAGCGTTATTACGCGGGTACTTTGCGCGCTGGATTATTGCGACCTTAATAATGACGCACGTTTTTGCAATGTGACGAGAGATTTGGTACGACGCTTAACGCCACCTCCCTCTCGTGCCGTTCTATTGTACACGTGTATATTTATGCATTTTTTTCTTATTGTTTATACAGGTAGACCCAAAGCGAGTCAGTAAAAAACCTCAACACGGTAAAATCTTCGTGGGTGGTCTTACTCCCGATATTACCGACGACGACATTAAGAACTACTTCGGCCAATACGGTACCATTGTCGAGCTGCAGGCGCCTTTTGACAAAGTTAAGAATCAGCGTAAAGGTTTTTGCTTTATTACGTTCGATTCGAAAGAAGTCGTGTACAAGTTGTTGAAGACGCCTAAGCAGACGATTAATGGTAAGGAAGTAGACGTCAAGAAAGTGAAGGTTAATCCGGATCCAAGAAATCAGGGCTTCTGGGCGCCTGGTTACGGCTACGGATACGGCGGCGGTTACGGCTACATCCCCGAGTACAACGGTTATCATAGCGGCTACGATGACATGTACGCGAACTACGATTACGCTGGTTATGATGGCTACGACAATATGGGATATGGTCCCAAACCGCGAGGTAACGGTCCGGGACCGCGTCAATTTCAGAGACATCAACCGTATTGAGAAAGAGTGTGAGGGAGAGAAAGAGAGAGAGAGAAAGAAAAGTGTGCGTGCGTGTGTGAAAGTAAGAGAGAGAGAAAAAAAAAGTACAACCGAGAGCTAAATCTCTTGGTTATATATTAAAACATTTGATGATTACGAGTAGAACCTTTTATTATAGGTGGAACGTTTCGTCTATCAAACCGAGACTGAATCCGGGATTATGGGGGGGGAGAGAAAAAGATTTAAAAAAATGGAAAAGCCTCACCCCAAATACCCCGAATTTAGTACGTTATGAAGGATGCTTTCGCAAGTAATGGCTTAATAATGGATATTAACAGTAACAATTAAGAGTAACAATATTAATATCTTCGTTCAACAAGTGTTGAGCAAAAAGTCGTTCTCCAAAAAAAAAAAAAAAACCAGTGTTTCAGAATTGAGGACCGAAATGTAAAACGGATCGACCGCACGTTAAATTTTTCTCTGTAGTATCTCATCAATTTCAAACTGATTAATTTAAATAATAGCAATTTAAATTAATTCTAGTTTTAATTTAATTGGCAATTCAATAAACTTGCTAAGCAAGATTCCTGAAGTCGGATCCAGAACAAGATAACGAGTCTGCTCGTTAAAGCGTTAATGACCCTGTGTACTATTCTGTAAAAAAACATATGTTTTGCTCTTTGTATCGTGTTATACTTTTTACACTTGAAGTGAAAAAGTTATGCTGTATGTATATGATGTATGTGTATAATGAAAGGAAAACGAGCGAATGCCTTCAAAAAAAGAAAGAAATTAGAATTAGAAGGAGCGAACCTACAGACATTTTGATCAATAAAATATCTATTAATTGTCATTTTCAAAATTGTGCTTTTTACCATGTCGATAATTTCTTATCGTGTGAAATATGTTTTTCCTATATGAGATACAAGCTTGACAATGTGAGAATTATATAAAACGGCACGAAACATTTTTTTTTTGCGCAGAACCAGTAGCAATTATTAATAATTTTAATGCCATTCGACTTTTTTCTACTTGTAATAGTAAAGTCTATGTAAAAATGGCAAACAAACGAACGAACTTGCTTTATATTGCGCGTGAATATTAACTAATATTGGATTTGTTTTCTATTGTGCACTGACTGCACTAGTTTGAGAAGTGTACATATACATTGAAGCGTAAGAAACGTATAACACGAGACTCACGCTTTAGTATATGTACAGTTCTTGAACTACCGCAGCCAGTGCAGCAATAGAAAACAGATATAGTGTGATCGTGACTTTAGTTAAGTGAAGTAGACCAGCAAGTCCTGAAATATGATTTGATCTAGATCTATTTGTCTTATATTCCTAATTTGCTATTAACATGTATATCCATCGTATTGGATTATCCAGAAAGTTTATGCCACATCTTTAGAAGTATTCGCTGGAAGACCCAACAAATTTTGACAAGATGAAATTTTCATAATTTTTCTTATAGGCCGGTATTCGTAGTTCGTTCCTATATTTAAGTACAATCTTAAAATGTTACAAATCGATTACAGCCGTGTTAGCATCTCAGGACATTACTTAAGACGGTCTTGAGATAAGAATGGACTACGAATACGGATCTTAGATACAGAAACAAAAGTATATATATAAATACGTTTGCTATTTTTTTTATTGGCACAAACTTTTCGGAAAATTCAATACCTTAATATCCTACTTTAGTGATCCTTTATACGTTAAAAATTTGAGTTTTATTATTCAAATATTACTTTCCTATAGCTTACAGTTGTATCTCAGACTACGTTTGCAATTTAATGTGTGTAATAATTCAAATTGTTAGACAATCTTAATTTTTACAATCGCAGTCTAATTATATGATCAAAAAAAGCGGATTAATCCACGAAAGAGAAAATACAGTCTAATCTGAGTCTGACGCGTCTTTTGAGACTGGATGAAATGACAATTACATTTATAGTATACTCACGAGTCATAATGATTGCAAAAGAAAGTATCGTATCGTACATCATTTGAAAAAGAAAAAGAATCATCGATTTCTGAGCTTGCTTGAAGCGCTTTTTTTTCAACGCCCTACGTTTGAAAGCGCAAGTTAATAGTATTCGGTCTTCTTCTCACGTCCACGTTCATCTTCTCTTCGCAATCACAAGCTCTCGCTTTATTGGAAATGGCAAAAAAGGAGTGGTTAACATTCAAGGACCAAGGCCTTAGATCAAAATCGATTTCTCTGCTTAGCGTTAGTAAATAATTCTCATAATTAGTAAATAATAACATAATGTACTCTATCCTTTGATTTTGATTAGTAATGTAATGATGAACATCTTATGGCTGCAAGATTTATATGTACATATCGTATATATATGCGTGCATGCGCGCATTATACATAGTATGCGTGTACGCATGCACGTACGTGTATGTGTATATATGTACGTGCGTTTAATGGATACGAAACATGCGGAAACGAGATAAAAATTAATATTTAGAGCAAAAAAGTAAAAAAAAAAATTATATAATGAAAATATACACGTGAAGTACGCGCGCGAGCGACGAGTCCAACTTGTAACTTCCTGCTGTCGACGAAATAGCACATTTAGTAGTAACGAGAGAAAAGAAAAACGGGAGAACCTTGCCGGTATAATCATAGTTTACACAATATTTAACGCAGCATCGTGTCATAACTATCGATATCCTAAATGTATCATAAAATGTATATCGCCCGTAATTAATTGTCTGGCAGTTTGTCTCTAATAACGTAAGACGGATAAAATCTGTCTTGAAACAAAGTTCTATTCACTTGCGTGTCGTCTGTGTACGGTCTGCGTATCTCAGTCTGTACTGAAAAATATGGAAAAAAAATGCAAAAAAAAAAAAAATAAGAATAGAATAGGATAGATGTATGCGAGGATGATCACCGCTGGAGATAATTAATAACGAGAGTGACAAAGGCTTCCCTAAACTGATCCAGGTGACCAGTAAACGTTTAAGGCGCGCGAAATGACCGGGGATGATAAAACGAGTTATAAACCATTTCTTTCACACACTTCTGTGTCGGGCAGTTCCCGTTCGCCGTGTAAAGACTGCTCTTCATATCGCGAAAAGACTGTTAACACAAGCGATGAATACAGGCACTAGGAAAATCTTGAGAAACAGTTGATAGAACTTGCGGTTTCGAAACCACGCGAAATTGAGAGGATTAACTGATTAACGTATAATTGTAAAGAATGTAGATAAGGTACACAATGGGACTACATTTAGGTACATCGAAATTATTACAATCGAAATATTATAACGAGGCCGACGAAGCTACATTCAAAAGAAAAGAAAAGAAAAAAGTTTTTTCCGCAGACGTCGCAAAGGCATAGGCGGTTTGGCTTGACTCTCGCCATCGTGAGCACGTGCAAATGGGAATTATCCCCTCGAGAAGATCCCGAGCCAAGCTAATGCCTTTGAAATTAATTCTGTATACTGTGTATACCATATTTGCTGCGTGCGAAAATATATATTGAAAAACAGAGGGGTAGAGTAGAGAGAGAAAGGGAGAGAGAGAAAAAAAAAATTTTAAAGGGAAACGATACAAATATTTTGTTACTATTAATTACTATTCGCCTGTTTCACCCATGACACAGTGTATATTTTAATTATAACAAAAAAAAAATAAAAATATCCCCATTATTTCAAATGTTCTTTGTGGAAATTTATGATATTACAATATATACATATATATAAAAAAAAATGCAAAAAGTTTACTTGTTTCACTGTTAAGTTCTGTGCGCTCATTTCTTCCCGAGGAAGATTGAGAGAATTTGAAGACTGCGTCTTCTGATTTTATATATAAGATATATTTGATATATATATTTATAAGATATACGCATAAGGTATATAACAAATATAATTATATAGCCAATCTTAATCTTCTACTTTACACGTTCGATTTTAATCTTCTGTGTCTACATACTTATATATCCAATTTTAATCATCTATCTTATATATTCGTTCTTTTCTGTCTTTATACATTCTATATACATTCAGTTTTAAATATACAAATATGACTTAATTTTTTATCTCTCTCGAATAAAATACGGTAAGCTTTTTGCACCGATCGGATCCGATACTTTGTTTTTATTTTAATCTTCTCCGAGGAGGGGGGGGGGGATCGGGGGGATCACGGGGACGACATTACGGTCCCCTCGACAGATGCCGCGTCGCGCGATCCTCGCGACGATGCTCTCGGCATCGCTTCGGCTCGGCAGTACGGCGTTTTCCGACACCCTGGTAGTTGCGGCGCTGACTCGTTCCGGTGTGTTTCGCAACAGCTGTGTGGTTGATCGAGCTCGTCGCGTTTTCGGAGCGGCTCTTGCGACGAGGACCGAACGACCGGGGCGTCTTCTCTGAGCGGAGGCGAAGCGCGGAGGATCCGACGGAAAGGAGCGACGTGCGAGCGGAGCGACAGAGAAGGAGAGAGAGAGAGAGAGAGAGGGAGGGAGGGAAAGCGTGTTCACGAGCACTCAGACACGGTGCTATGCCTCACCCAGAATCGGCACGGTTGCCGTCGCGATCGGTCACGCCGCTCCGACGATCGCGGGGATTCGCGATGTAGCCCCCTCCTCCCTCCTCCACCGCTCCTGCTCCTCGCTTCTTACCCCGCAAGAATCCGTGGAAAAATACACACTCTCTTCCTCTCTCTTTCTCTCTCGGCGTTTTGTCGCAACACCCTGGTCACATCGATGCGTCGTCACGCAACGTCGACGGGCACTCGCGCAACAACGCTCACGGATCCTGGCCGCCGCGCCGAGTGCACCTCGTCGTCGTCGTCGTCGTCCTCATCGTCATCATCGTTAACGTCGCTGCCTCCAACAAGAAGTGCCTTCCCTCGACTCCGATCGTTCGGCCGTGCGGGCCTCCCGATCGCAGGGGAGGCAGCGTGTACGTTTCACCTGCCCCGACGACGATCGCGACCGACCCGCACCTTTGTCCAATCCTGCCTGTGCGCCTCGGTAAGTGACGAGTCTCGAGCGATAGGTTCTGTCGAGGGGACGGATACCTGTGGGAAATAATGAAGGGGGGAAAAAAACGGCTACGGGGAATAGAGGATCGGGTACCAGGTCAACCGAGTTGAACAATGCCGTTGGAAATTATATATCTTCGAGGCTTGTCCCGGATAGAACTTACTGAAGCGAGTTTCAGATCAGCCAATTACTATGTTGCGCACATCGTAGGCTGAACCTGCGACGTGAGGAAAACGTTAGATTGAATTGTGAAAATGAATTATCGTCTTTTCTGTTTTCTAAGAATCTTAAACCGGTACTTGAACTACCTTCACGAATTAGGAGACACATTTCTTTGCCGAAGAATTTTAACGTACTTTTTTGTTAGTAAACTGATACCTAAGAAACGAGATCGTTATTGACGTTGTTTCATCCATAATCTGTCTTTCAGAGACAAATTTGTGATCATTGATGGATCGAGGATTTGGAGTAACGGCGGGCGTCGCGTATGTCTTTCCTGGAAGATATGAAGCTTCTAATCGCCCACGAGATCGGAAAGTTTCCGAGCCGGCAGTCTTCTTTTTTTTTACTGTGCGTGGAATTTAAAAAAGAAAAAGAAACCCGCGTGACTCGGCATTGCGTAATGTGTCGTCTACGGTCGGTTGTTTGGATACGTATATAATTTGTTGCGTGTCGTTGAACGCGCGTTTGTAAAAAAGTGACTCACCTCGCACTTACGCGGTTTTTTTGTTGAGCTGAAGACGTGGCAACCTAATTGAAATTGATAATTACAGTGGGACGGCAAAACGGAGATTTAGATTGTAACAAGTTTTTCCCTCTTCCAACGGATACAGTGATCTTTGGCAAAATTATGTAGCCCAACAAACCTAAATCGATTCGTATAGTTTCGTCCTATCGTGCATAACTCACTGTAATTATTAAATCGGTAGGCATATGAGCATTGTATACAAGCATCATTATGATAGTAACTTAATGACACATTTAAGTTAATCTAAGGATATATAATAATTAGCCCTTGCGTACTCGCTGAGTCAGATCCATTAGATCCAAGCTATTCTTCTATTATTCGTATTTACAGAGAAAAATATTTTAGAACGTTTTCTTTTTCGGGTATATTCTCTTTTTTTTAGACTTAGATTTCTAACCTGTTATTAAGGTGAAAATATGTTCATCAAATCCTAACTAATCTAAGACTTTAAACTTTAAGTCATATAGACACTAGTAATAGATAACGTGAAATTTTTAGAACAATCTTAAATCAAATTTGGACCAAATTATGCTAATAAAATTGGTCCAAACTTGAAAAATTCGACTCGGAATTATTTTACAATTTCTTTTTATTACAATGACAGAGCAGTGGGTAAAAATAAGATTACATTCATAGTACCTGAGCTCGTCATATCCCACTTTAATAAGGATAAAGGTTCTGAAATTTGTTAGAAGATTTTCATTGTTCAATTGTCAAGATTTAAGGATTTAAAAATGGAAGAGAAGTCGCATGTCTCCCATTGATGTACATTCATAAAAAAAGAGGATAGGTATCCATATCTTAATACGTTTATTATGGTTGTCATCGTTATCATAATGATTCTTTAGATGCGGATAGATATCGATAAACGGCAGAAACAGAGAGAGAGAGAGAGAAAACACGTGTAACTTTACTGACTTGGTTTCTAGTTTCTAGTACGCGAGTACTCGAGGGTTAAGTATAAGATATCGAGTTGACGCGATAAGATTTCACATTTATGGGTATTTGCGATTTTGCAGATAAGTGAATCAGCTAATTGAGGCGGAAATGCATTGCTGAGACGGCGCGAGAAGCAAAGGGAGATTGTCGTTCGAGTAGTCGGAGTGGCGATCCTCGGTACATAACCTGAAAAGACAAAATGTCCCAACTAAACATCAACACGGGCAAGCGAGGGAGAGGGGTCGCGAGTACCTCCGCGTCGACCGTTTCCGCCCTGAGCAGCTCCACCGATCTGGCGAGCCTCTTCGAATGCCCCGTGTGTTTCGACTACGTGCTTCCACCTATTTTGCAATGTCAGAGCGGACATCTAGTCTGCACGAATTGCAGACCGAAACTCTCCTGTTGCCCTACGTGCAGAGGTCCTTTGGGTACGGGAAGACTTTCTTTTTATTGTTATCGAAAACTGGTTGTTGGAATTGTATCTAACGAGCGGTTGACCAACACAGGTAACATCCGTAATTTGGCAATGGAAAAGGTGGCGAGCAACGTGATGTTTCCCTGCAAATACTCCACCAGTGGCTGCACAGTCTCGCTGGTGCATACGGAGAAGGCAGATCACGAGGATGCATGCGAGTTCCGTCCATACAGCTGTCCTTGCCCGGGCGCGTCCTGCAAATGGCAGGGATCGCTGGAACAAGTGATGCCGCATCTTATTATGAGTCACAAAAGTATTACGACCTTACAAGGTATTAAATCTTTATCCCGTTTACCGATACTTCGGTTGTAACTATTTACACATTGTTTTTTCTGCAATCTTTTCCAGGTGAAGACATTGTTTTTTTGGCAACTGACATTAATCTCCCCGGAGCTGTGGATTGGGTCATGATGCAATCTTGTTTTGGCCACCACTTTATGCTGGTGCTTGAAAAACAAGAGAAGTACGACGGACATCAACAGTTCTTTGCAATTGTACAATTGATCGGATCTAGGAAGCAAGCGGAGAACTTTGCTTACAGGTAACTGTAACTCGTGTTATTTATCTAAAAGTAATAATATCTGTCTTAAAAAATTCGGTAGATTTAATATTTTCATCTCGTGTAAGTGTCTGTATTTATTTTCTCTTGTATGTATTTATTTCTTATTTTAATTAAACTATTCTAATCAACAGACTAGAACTAAATGGGCACAGAAGACGTCTCACATGGGAAGCGATGCCGCGTTCTATTCACGAAGGTGTGTCGTCTGCGATTTTAAATTCTGACTGCCTTGTATTTGACACCTCCATTGCGCAGCTGTTCGCTGACAATGGAAACCTAGGAATTAACGTTACAATTTCTATGGCCTGAGGAAAGCCAGAAAAAGCAGTGTAAAAAGAAGGAGGAAACGTCACTTCCCGGACATATCGAGCAGCCCTTGAGATAGGTGCAATAAGGTACTCAAATGGGACTGCCCGCTATGCGCAGAGAACGGTTCTTTTTGTGTTACCAAATGGATATTAGCAATACGGAAACATTAAGGAATGTTGTTTCGAGTATGTTGACTATATGCAGCATTTGGATACTCAGCACAGGAGCGTCGTTGAAAAGCTTTAAAGAGTTGGATGTGATATTGATACGTCACGGAGACAAACGTAATAAACATCTTTTCGATATATCCATACTATGATTTTAGAGCTTTGATGCTGAGCACGATATCGAATTCCGAGAAAAAGAAAGTACCTGATATCTGCTGTTGTCACATTATTCTCACTCTTTTTCGCATTGAACTTTCATTCATACCTCTTCGGGGAGATTTTAATAATGCGAGACAACGCATTATTTGACATTGACATCTTTTTTGTCTGTATTTTAACACTTTTCTGGACTTAGTACGGCGAAAGGCGAATTACGAGACAAATTTCACAAGTTTACTGAATCTCGTCATGTATTTATGTATTTTGTTCTCCGTATATATTTTTATAGTATTATTTTCGTTTATATAAAATTTACTTCCTCTCGGTCTTCTAAAATCGCTATACTTCGTATTTTTTTTTTTTTTTTTTTTTTTTTATTAAACGTCTTGTATGTACGTATGTGTTTTCTGTATAACACGATAAATCCGGCTTTTGTGACTAACACAGTAAACGTAGCCGCAACTGTTTCGTTATTCCACATTATGATTACATGATATCGTGCTTTTTGCGATTTTTATACGCAAATAGCGGTGAAAGGCAGATCAGTTTTTCACGATCTAGTCTGAATGTCGAAGCAAGATGCTAATATTTTTACAACAGTTATATTAACATGGGGTGCGTTCCAAAGTGCATTGATAGTACTGAATATCTATAGCATATGTGAGCTATAGATTGTCAGAGCTGTCAGTACATTTCGAGATGCACCTATGGTGTGGAGCAATGTTCAATTGCAGCAAAGTTCCTGTAAGCGAGATAAAAAGGAAGTTTAAAAGTGACTGAAGCAATGATATTAAAATAAGTAAAAGAAATGTTTTATTCAATTTGAATTAAAGTACGTTGCACAGCATTCTCTCTTTTTCTTTTGCAAATATTAACGTCACGTTACACTTGCTCTCGAATAAAACTCATTTTTATCAATATCAGTGCGAAAGAAAGAAAAAAATTGCTCTGTACCACGTTTAATGTTTATTGAATTAATTTTCTTAACAAATGTCTTTTTTTAAGTAAGATATTTTTTATAGGAAGTGCTATTATAGATAACAATCGTTCTCGCGGTAAGATTTTCTCATAGCTATAAAGATTTTTCTTTATTCTCGTAACTTATGCTTTTCGAGACACGCCAGATTCTTCTTTTATACCGTTATTTCGTGTAACATTCGTTAGTTTTGAAAAGCAATGAGATATTTAGCAAAAACAGAGCATTGAACCGAATTGCGTCACAAAGTCGTTCAATAAAAATTCGAGCTAACGGAAAGAAGTTATGGGGAACATTGTTTTCTTCGGAGGAACAATTTAGACTGAAATGTAATTATACGAGATGAGTAGGCTAAGTCTATAACGATTGATTATATATTTTTCATAGGTTACGGAAATTTGCACGAGTTTTACTTTCGCTAAGTAAGTAATTCCATACGTATTGTTGAAACTGCCTTGTCAAAAGGCTGCTGACGACATTGGATTAATATATATTCTATATCACCCGCAATTACTCGCGAATTATTTATCGGTTTAATGCCCTGTAACACAGTTGTAAGTGAGATAGAGAGAGAGCGAGAGAGAAGGTTCACGAAGTGTATAGGCGGAAGCACTGTTATTGTAAATAAGACGCGAAAACTTATTATGTGATATAATTAGTATTAGTAATGTACATCACAACATGCCGATATTCACGATGTTGGAAATAACTCGAGGGAACCAAGTGCACGGTGTACGCGCACACCGTAATAAATATGATTTAGCGTGTATTAGCCCAAGCTTGTAACGGATTATGTTTACACACGTCTATCAGGCGGATAATTTAATTTTAGTGGATTCGCATGGAGAAATGAGCGTTCTTGGCGGTTACCGAAAAAAAAAAGAAAACAGGAGAGAAAACGAGATCGAGCCCTTGAGTATGACATTGGTTGTTACATCCCGTATCGAGACTCTGGAGAGTATCTTCCCGACTGTTGGCATGAAACATAATTCGGCAAATCGAGATTGCGGAATAATCAGTGCGCTCACCGTACTGAGATCACGATTGGTACGCACAATTGGATTCTACACAAGTATATCGTAGTGCGATATAGGGAAGGATTACACGCTAGATGTGATTTTTCTCTCTGTAAACGCGGCACTGGGTGGTGACCTAATGATTTATGTTTCAAGAAAACGCACATTACGTTGTTAAGTACCCTGTACATACGATAAGATAAACGATATAGCGTAATCTTTATCCTTTAACCAAGTAGTAATTTATTCTCTAGCATTCGCGAGGGTTCCATTGCTGTTTCATCGAAATCATCATCACGAATAATGCATTTTCAATTATTTTAACGGATATATCCACTGTTTCGCTCGTATCGCAGAGGATGATTATGTAATATTCCCGAAAAAAAAGGAAAGCGAGAAAATAAATACGAGAAAATAATTAATTGCGTTATGAGCTGCATGAAGAATAAATGAGCTGGCGAATGAGAATGTATGTAAAACGTTGAAGGCTTTGGGAGCTCGCGATCGATAGATAACGAAGTCGTACGACAATCTCATCGTTATTTCGTTTCCGCGTGAACCTAAAGACGCCTTGTGTTAGATTTATGATTTATGTTACAGTACATGACTTTCCCTTTTTTACTTAAGACACGTTGAAATTATTACGTTTGAAATAAGGATAAATCGAAATCAGTTGTGTATACAGCGGACGGTTTGGAGGAATTATCCCATTTTACACGCGCGCTTGGAGAGCCGTCCGTTGATTTTAACTTTTAGCTATTCGCGAGATCTGCGCTTTGATGAGATGTGAAGAATGTAATTTGTACTGAGCTGTGCAACTTGGCGAATGCCCGACATATCCCGGATAAATCGAGCAGGAATACGAACGAACGAGAACGAGAGTTTTTCCTTGTTTGACGACACAATTTGCGAATCGCGAATGAATTGTTGTGAGCGGCGAGTCCACGACGGAATCTTCGTGTTCTACGAGATGTCTGGCGGAGAAGCCGGTGGTGCTCGCGTGTTATTCGCAGAATAGTATAATTGTCGAGAGAATAGCTTTATTTAAATATAATGTATATACTTATATATGCATATTTATAGAATCTACAAAATGTTCAAGCCATGTATAAAGAGCATGAATAAATTTTTTTTTATAGATACTTTTCTATCACCGGCGATGTCGCTTTCTTGTCATGTATCACAGTATATACAGGAAGTATACAATTGAATCGTTCAGAATTAATATGTGATTTATTAACTTGTAATACTTTACATTATTGCGATTTTATATAATTTGTTAATTTTACTGATGTTACATGTTTATTACGTTAAAATGAGGAAGATCAAAAGTAAGAGAGATTCAATAACGAGGAAGATTAGAAAATTTTGATTGAATAAAGGAATAAATGAATAAAATCAATGAAATATGGTGAACAAGCAATAATTCACTAATTTTATACGATCTGGTAGGCGTGACTTGGGGCTAAACGTCCCATAGCGTTTTGTTTAGCGAAATGGATTTGTGGGAAACAAAGTTAGCTTTTATGCATAATTATACCTGATCAAATTTTATTTTAATACAAGTAAGTTACAAATTATTATCTTATAGACTTTCAATATATTATTAGCCTCAATACAGATAAGATATACAATAATTAATTGGATTAAATGGTAATAATTATCTTTACATCCGCGTTTGGAAATTTATTTAGTTTATGAATTTTTATTTAATTTTTGGCGATAAAAAAGTTTTTTGGCTTCACGTGATTGCCAAAACTTTAGTTCGTGAAGCTGATTGGCTATCGTATCCCATGCGGTCTCTTGCACGTGTGTCTGAACATGTGATGTGCCGTACGCACATGCTGAGAGTTTATGGTTATGTTCTCTCGAGCCGAGTCTGAATC